AAGCTAAATTGTATATTTCTATTCCCGGGACATCCCTATTTTTTTTTTCTTTATGTTAAAATACATCCATATATGCCCAGCCGCCCCTTGAGATCGGCGGGAGAGGCCCTTCTCTGGGAACCCTCCGTGAAAGAAATTAGGAGGGTAGGTACTCGGAGGAGGGCTTTCTCTGCGGTGGCGCCAAAGTTATGGAACGCGCTCCCCAGAGAGGTCCGCCTGGCGCCGTTGTTATTTGTTTTTTGGCGCCAGGCGAAGACCTTTTTATTCAAGCGGCATTTTAACTGTTAATATTATTGGATTTTGTCTGGCCAGGGTGGTTTATTTTATATTGTATTTTGTATTTTTATCTAATTTTTATAATTTTTAATTTATTATTATAATTATTTTTAATTTATTATTGTAAGCCACCCCGAGGCTTTGGCGAATGGGGCAGCATAAAAATGTTTTAATAAATAAATAAATAAATAAATAAATAAATAAATAAATAAATAAAAAAAAAAAAATATCTTCCTTCAGATCATGACAGCTACGCCTCATGTACCTCACTGCAGTGGGGGTTTTTTGTGTGTTTTTTTTTCCCAGGGCAGGGGTGTTTTGTCTGTTGTTTTGTTGTTTGTTTTTTGGATCTCACAGTATGTACAATGATTCAATATAGGGTGGTTCGAACAGAAGGCTGTTAGAGCTACCAGTCAGAAGGTATTGTGCAACAGTTTAGGTTCCAGCTACATAAAAGACTATCAGCTGCCATATATACCTACCCCCTCATTAAGATCTTGTCCCTTAAGGAGGTAAAGGAGATGTTAAATAGAAGGGCCTTCTCGGTGACTGTCCCTTGACTATGAAACAGGCTCCCCAGAGAAATTCGGCTGGCACCAGGTGAAGACATTTCTTTTCTCTGAATACATTCAAGAACAGACTTGAAATTTGTTATTTATTCTGACATCTGTTGTTCTGCTTACTTGGTGTACTTATGATACTTTATAACTTTTTAATTGTGATTTTAGCTGGTTTTATTGTTATTTTTTGGTATTTTACTGTAAGCCACCTAGATAATTCATTGGATTAGTGGGTGGCAGACAAACTTAAAAATAAATAATATTTTTTTTTCTTTAATGGATTTTCTGTGGGAAGGAAAAGGATGGAAGATGTTATGGGGAAAGAGTGAAACACACCATCCGCATCTCCCATAAAATTCTGTGAATGTGGGCAGGGTCATGGTACTATAAAAGCCTCATCTGGAAGTACCCATAGTACGGTTGGATTTTCTGTGTAGTTGGGCCCAGTGCCACACAGGTAAGGTTTGAAATTGCAAGTGTAAATGAGATTAATAGTTGGTATAGTCACTTTACTTTTTAGTCTGCCCAACCTAACCCCTGTTCCCCAAGAGAGTATGGAGTTGGTGCTGGCATAACCATGTTGCTTGTCCACCTGGCATGATTTCCTGTTTGTTACCACCAGTGCAGTATAGTATCTGCGCATGATGCAGCGACAACTGTGCACAAAACATCAACATGCATATCTCTTCAGCTGCTGTATATTCTTATTATTGATGCAGATATTCTTATCTGCTGAAAAAAAGTCAGAATAAATCACAATGTTTAGGATCTTAAAACCCTAAAAATGTCTTACATTTCCTTAGCCTGTCAATTTCAGTGCAAGTGCTTATGTGGTGGTGGATGCCATCTTTAAAAAAAAATGCAATTATTCTCTACATAGGAGCTGAAGTTACCCTCCTATAAAGGCCAATCTCCCCAGTTAAATCTGAGAAGATATTTTGCAGACTTGATTGCCATTGTGAGCAATCGCTTCAGACTCTGTCCTGCTGCCCGTCACCTTGCTGTTTACCTACTGGACCTCTTTATGGACCGTTACGACATATCCATTCAACAGCTACATGTTGTTGCTCTTTCCTGCTTGCTTTTAGCGAGTAAGTATAAATCTACAGGTTTAGCAGACTGAAATTGCTAACTAAATCTAGCCAGTGAGGAGTGGTTTTATTCCTGGCTTCTTAGGAACTGGACCTTAAAATGGTCTATTCCTAATCCACCATGTCCACCAGACTGCAAGGGTCTAGGAATTTCTTGGGCACTATTTTCACACCCAGTCCAGTCCTCACTGAACTTAATTTGTATCAGGAATGTATCCCAAATGTAATTTGATGTTACCTGAATGCATTTCTGCTTGATCTTTCCTTGGTGGTATTCTATCCTTTCTTTCTCCATTTAACAGCAGCCTTTTCATTCAATGTTTTATAACCATTACCTGTTCCCATTCCTCAGCTAAAGGTGTTCAGTTCTCCAAGTTACTATATGCCCTAGAAAATGCTACAGGATATTAAAGGATTGCAAGGGAGGTAAAGGGGCTAGGCAGTTTCTTGGTGAGTGCTGTCTAGATTCAGTTGCGTTCTTATTCGTATGTCTGTGCTGCTACTGCTTCTCTGGACAGAATTACCACCAAAGTTGCTGTGGCTGTCCCTCAGGAGGTTTTGTCTAATTTCAAAATATGCCGTACAGTATTTGCAAAGGGAGGAGTTTCTCAGTTTCAGAAATTGCATCACATCCCTCTTGTATTATGCTTTAAAACTGCTTGTTAAGACCAAAAGTGTTTGTTGTAGATATCATGGCATCCAGTATGTTATTCGACTTAAGTAAAAAGTGATTGTTGCCAAGTGAGTATTTCTGAAGTAACAAACCAAACTGAAACATGTTAAAACAAACAAAAATCAATGTTGCCAAACCACTGAATGGAAAATTGCTTAATTTTAAAGCAAACTTCAAGTCCCATCTACCATAGATTTGGTAAGTATGTACCCTGTGTCATTGATAAGATTATAGCACTAATATAAAAGGAGCCAAAGCATGCGACTGCCATCCCTGGATTCTGCTGCGTGCCATCTCTGCATCTTTTTCCTCTGTGGTGTTGAGAGGGTGGACTGCTAGTGGTAGTAGTAACTTTCAGTAGAATTCAATAATTTCAGTAGAATTCCAGTAGTAACTTTTTTGCAGAAGATGGAGATAATACATTAATCTTTTATAGTAAGAGCTATTTAAAAAAGTGTTGTCTTTTTTGAAAAAACTATGACCCTCCCTGTATGAGAACATGTATAATTTGTGTTTACATGTACTAAATGATGATATTTCACCTCATTCCCCTCAAGGTAAATTTGAAGAGAAAGAGGACAGTGTGCCTAAACTTGAACAGTTAAACAGCTTGGGTTGTATGACTAACATGAACCTGGTACTAACTAAACAGAACTTGCTGCACATGGAATTGCTGTTGTTAGAAACCTTTCAGTGGAACCTCTGCCTTCCAACAGCTGCTCACTTTATTGACTATTATCTCTCCATCGCTGTTCATGAATCTGATCTTCATGATGGATGGCCAATGGTTTGCTTGGAAAAGACAAAGTTATATATGGCAAAATATGCTGACTACTTTTTGGAAGTATCCTTGCAGGGTAAGTTTTAATGGCTTTGTTTTAAAAACCCAATAGTTTCTTTCTTACACAGCTAATACTGTATTTTACTTTAACTGTGATCCTCTAATGTCTCTCCAGATCATGCATTTTTAAGTTATGCCCCTTCATTAGTGGCTGCTGCATGTGTGGCTTCCTCAAGAATTATCTTGCGTCTTTCTCCAACATGGCCAGCACGACTTCATCGTCTTACTGTATATTCCTGGGACTTCCTGGTACCTTGTGTTGAACGACTACTGGTGTAAGTTCTTTATAGGGGTTTCCAACAATAAACTACAGTGAGGGCTGGGGAATATTAAATGCATGTACAGGTGCTATTTTGCTCTGTGAATAGTAGGCTAGCCACTTTGGAGAAGCAGATAGTCAGGCTGGTGTCATTCCTGATTCTGATCTTTTAAAATCATGAATGTTTTCACTGTAATTTTATACTTGGTGTATTTTTGTCCCTGATATCCTCTCTCTTATTCTCCAAATCCATGCAAGTTATAGTAAATTTCAGCATTGTATCTCTAGTATACATATCAGCCCTTCCTAACTACTTTACTACTATATGGGGGTTTTCATCATAATTGTATCCTCTTGAAATTGATCCACTTAACAATTTCTGCTTCTGACCTGAATGTGAATTTTCCTTTTATGCTGCCTTGACCTGTATCCATGGTTTTCAACTTGCAGTCCACTGCTTGAAATTTACTGGCCAGTGGTTCACACAATCATTTTATATCTTGCCTTTTCACTGTGGATTTCTGATCTACATTAAAATTGCGCAGGAAATTTGTCTCAAGGTGGCTTTAACAAGATGGAAATAATGGTAATTATTAGTTACCTTTCTGCTGAAGTACACAAAATAATAATATTACTAAAATATTTATAATAAATGAGAAAAGCGGCAGCATAAGTATTAAGCAGCATTAAAGACTAAAATAAAAAACACCTCGTGCCAACAAATACAGAAAGTCTAAGGATAGTAACTCTTATGTTTTGTACATACTCGTTAGATTGTGAAGAATTATATTAAGTTTTTAGTGTTATGAATTAATTTGGCAACCGATTCAAACATTTTTTGATTCATTTTCTTGATGTATACATTTAACAACCCCATCCAAAACCCATTTGCTTGCATGCTTGTCCTAATGGTTTTCATGGATTATACTTAGAAACAAAAGTGCACAGGATTGTAGCACAATTCAGAGGAAGTTAAAATATTTTTCATAGTGCATATGTTTTAGAGATCTGCTTCACTTTAACACTCATTGTAAAACAGCAGTTTCATTTTATGAGCATGTACATTGCTTGTTAAATTTGACTTTAAAATGAAGTAATGTCACTGAACCAGAATACTGGTACCATTATAGGATCAACACTAAGGGCCAGGATGTAAAGCACTGCAGATGCAGTTCTACTCACACATGGGTGTGGGGGGGCGGGGGGGTGGTCTTTAAATCCTCCTTCCAGTAGAAGTGCCTGTATGCAGCTAGGTAGATCTCTCATTGCTGCATTAGGCACAGATTGCTGCTGCCGGAAGAAATATTGATGCACCCCTTTTTAAGCATGTATAGAAGTGTTTTCTGTTTGCACATGGGGTGGGTAAGTTGTGGACTCCAGCCTCTATATAAAACAGAGTAAGTTTATTTTATATTCTAGTGCCCATGATAATGATGTCAAAGAAGCCAACAAGCAAAAAGGACCACATAGTTCGCAAACAGCCCAGCACAGTTTATTTCAAACAGCTACTCAACCTCTGCAGCAGCACATACCTCAGTATGTCCAAGCACATCAAACTCCTCTACAGTATCAAACGGTACCGCAACAAAACTGTCAGCAGATGGTGTCATCCAGTCACACATCCACTTACCCACTGCAGACATGCCCTACTGGTTTACAAAGTGGTATTCAGGCTCGGGGTCATATACAGACTGCTGCTGGAATGTCACTAGCTGTGCCCATAGAAGTGAAGCCATGTTTAAGTGTTTCCTACAA